TCTTCGTATATACAATCCTCATTCGGTTGCCAAGACGACCAATTTAAGAATTCCTTGAAGCCAGCTTTTTTCTTCGAAATGAAAAGCCTGGTAAAACTACTTATCACGTTGTGGCAAAATTCTATCTTTACGACGTAAAATGAATGAAACTATTATTCATAATATTCAATTGTTGGGGGGACTTTCATTTCGTATGAAAGTGCCTAAAGAGGAGATTCATAGGTTGACCTCACCAGAAGAGGACGGATGAATCCAGTTGTACTGCAGCTGGTTGGCTTTTATACGACGCCCAGGTTGACGCAGTCAACGAGACCTTCTACCTCGTTTCGGGTGAAAACGGGCTGAGCTTTCGCCCATCATATGATTGACATCATTAGAGCCCGAACTCCTTTCTGTAAAAGTCTCAAGTTAACACTAGAAAAACAAGACTATCCGGCTCTATCCTACCTCTTATATAGACTCGATTAAGGAAAAAAAAATAAAAAAACTTATCCGCCTACAGGAATATTAATCCACATCAATAATGTAGCAAAACTGACACTATCATATGAAGATGTGTGTCCGACTTTGCGAAATCGGAGTGATGGTTAAAATATATAAAGAGAGTGTGTGATGGTGGCCACCCAAACTTGGTGGCCGAGAATAGACGCCATCATTGCTGGTTTCGTACACATACGTACACAGGCAGACACATACACATACCAAAACAGACACACTCACAGGCTTCGAGATTAACAAATGAGGGGAACTAACCAAATCACTGTATACCTCATAAAGCAGCTCAGATATAGAGTATATATACAGTATTTGGGGATGAGCCAGTGAGTTTTATTGGCTGGTTAGCCTGAATATGGTTGTAAGGATGATAACATTTGCTCTGATGATGTCCGTCATACGAGGCACGAAAGATCAACGCGCTTTCACTCGATCCGAAGAAGACTGTTTCGCAACGTCGATCGGCAGCTGGCCAAGGGGAATCCGCAGTCGTCTTCTGGTCAAATCGACTTTCGAGTTTACAACTTCACTTTAACATGAAATGAAAGTCCGTCAAATAACGAATTATCTCAAGACAACATCTAAAATGCTGGAGATTGACGAGTAAAAGGCCTCACAATTGCCTCACAATTTGATGGTGCCTGTGCACTGGTGACTACAGTTGCTATGGCGTTCTGTCCGTGCAGACGTCGGAGGAGGTGAAGCTGTATGCCGGAGACGAGAATTGTATTCCCTCTAGAGCCGCT